AGTCCTCGCCGAAACTTGCGCCGTCCCGAGCCGCTCCCCCAGAACCTGTCCGCGAGGGCGTCAGAAGGAGACATTTGGCAGGTCATGCAGGAGGGGCCGCGTGGCGGTCCGGCGGGGGCGCGGGTTCCGCACGGTGTGGCGTGCGCCTCGGGAGCGGGACCGGAGTGGCGCCAGATACGGCTGGGGAGCGGGCCGGCCTGGCCGCCGAGAACGTTGCCAACGGCCGCGGCGTTGGCGACAGACTCGCCCGCGCACGAGTGGGGGCGCGTTACGGTTGGAAGGCTCGGGGAAGGTGGCGGTTGCCGGCGGTGCTGGGGAGGCGCGTCGCGTGCGATTTCACGGCAGGGAGCGTGCGTCGTGACCCGCAGGCGTTCCGGACGCACAGGGCAAGCAGCCCCTCCGCATGCTTGTCGACAGCGCGGCGTCTGCGGGCACGTTTTTTCCTCTTTCCATCTGGGCTTGGGGCGGCGATGGCCGCCGTGAATCGCAGAAATGCGAAAAAAAAAGCACCCAAGCGGGCGGCACGGAGCGAATAGGCGGCCCCCGCGAAACTGGCGCGACAGTTGTGCGACGTAAACGCGCCGCGGCCCCGCGGGCAGCACAGAAGCCAAACAAAAATCAGAACAAAATCCACATGGCTCGACCAGGGGGAGGCGGGAAAGCGACATGCGCGCTCAGCAAGCCCCCGTCGTTGATAGCGGGGGTCACCGACAAAAGAAAAGAAAAAAAAGGCATTTCAACGCGTTCAGGCGTCGGCCAACGGCAACGGGGCGACGGCCGTTTTCACGGCAACCGCCTCGCCGGGGCGTCTCCCATAGCGGAAAAGAAGCAGAAATTGAAAGCAGCACGCCAGCGCCCCCACAACATTCGGGGCCATGATAAATGGATCGCCCGTTAACACCCCATAGAGAAACCAAAGCAGCGTGTTGGCCAGCCCAAACGCCATTGTTAGAGGCGCCAGCCCCTCCGCGTTCTTGTTCCTGACGATGGTCCCGGCCAGGGCGAGGGGGGAGCCGAGCATGAAGGCGCTGGTGCAGCCCCCCAGCAGACCATTGAAGACCCTGGCGCCGTGGGGGCTGGCGGCCGCGAGAGCCACTATTAGGGCGGAGACGCCGGCGATAATGCACAGGGTGGCAATGACGCTCATCCGGGACTTTTTGTAGGTCGTACTCGGGAGGCGACGCCCCGACATTTCCTCCAGCCGCGCAACGGCGAGGAAAACTAGCAAGCAGTACGTCGCGACGGCGTTGCCAACAACGTTGCAAGCGATGATGGCGAACGAGGACTGTAAGACGCCGTAAATAGACCACACCACGCAGTTCACCAGTTGGGCGCAAAAAAACGTTGGCGTCATGACTCCCACGGAGCACTGGCGTTCCATGTTCCTCACCGTGACAACCGGAGAGCCGACCGTGCCGACTGTTGCAACGGTGGCCATCACCGCAACAACGCTCGCAGAATTCGACATGTTCGCCTATTTACTCTACAACCCATCCGCGGCCAGAAACGGGTGCCTCCCAACTTGTTTCCCTCCGCGGCCTCCACTTACCATAGAGGGAGATAGATATATACATAGGCAGAAGGTTTAAAATGCATGGACCAAGCCTCAGCAGCCACCGACAACGGGACCAAGGAATAGTAAGAAAGAGAGCCGCAACGAAATAACGAATAAAAAAAATTTAAACACCTTTACGACGTCTTTAGAGATATACGCGCAGAACTGCGCAGTGGGGAGCAAAGGCTGTGTGTGTGTTTTTTTTATTTTTCTTCGTGTATCTCTCTCTCCCCCCACACCCTCTTTTGCTATCAACGTGGCCAGAATAACCACCCACGCATGTTCCATTTCAACTGAAGCATCGGGTAAGTGCGTCACCACCGCCAACGCGGATCATGCGCCGCAAGAGTTCCGCTGCTGCACCAGCGTCGCCGGCAACCCCGCGCAGCAAACTGCTTCCACGCGTGGTCCTTCGTATCAATCAAGAATCTCAAAACAAGAACAATAATTACCCATTCGGCTAACGACGAGACGGCAATCTCTCCACGACACGGTGGTGGGTTTGAAAACGGGGGAGGGGGCCAGCCATTGCATCGTGGAGGCCCCGAGGGTGATGTGCGGACTGTACGCCTCGAGGCAATACTCTGATAGGTAGTTTGTCAGCCACTCCACCGTCGCGGCATTATCCGCCGGAAATGAGGGGTGAAATGCCGCCTTCCCCGCTTCTAACGTGGTGGGTGCCACATGAAAGGGTCGGACAGCGTGGACAATGTTTTCATGCAGTGCACGGAGCGTCTCCGAGCACTCAATTTTGATGGAGGGAAGATGCACCTCTGCTCCATCGGCGGTTGTGGCGAACGCGGGCCCTTCCTCGATTGCGGCCAAGGTGACCACTGCATCGCGCCGCTCCGTCGCCCCCTTCATGCTAACCCAAACTCCCCGCACCGCACTTCGCAGCGCATCCAGCTCAGAAGGTCGGATGCTAAGCTGAGCAACGGTGCAGTGTGGGTGGCCGTAGCCGCGATGCAGCACCTTCTCCTCGAGGCCCATGAGTCGGTAGGACCGCTCCCTCTCCCACCGCAGGCCGGCGTGGCCTTCTAAAGGGCATAGGGACCACGAGAGCGGGATCGCGGCCGCATCAAAGGAAGGCGATACGATGCATATGTTGATGGCAAGCAGTGAGGGCACCATATAGACATATATGTGTGTATGTAGGGCCTCGTCGCTTCCTCTCTCCCTCCCCAGCTCTTTTCTTTCCCTACTGCTGTCGTCGAGGTTATCCTCGCCCACACACACACCCAATAGAAAATAAAATGAACTAAAAAAATTGCACACACCCTCAAATCAACCCACTCCACCCCCAAGAAAAAACAAAAGAAAAAAACAATTTGGTATCGCACAACGCGTTGTCTTTGCAGCCACATCCATGGGTATCTGCCCACGTAGCCAATACATTCATTCACAGAAAAAGAGACGACTCTGGTGCATCCCTGACCACTAAACGCTGACACACACAAAAAAAAAAAGCGTGTGTGCGTGGGTGCGGGGGTGCTGAAAGCGCCTTTACCCAGCATTCCGTCCGGGAAAGGGAGAATTGCCTTGGCTGGGTGGGCCCTCGACGCTCAGGTTTCGTGGCAAGGCATTATAAAAGCAGATTTGGGGGGCAGCGGAAAGACATAAAAAATCCGCGCTATTGGCGGCGACAAAGGGCGACCGCAGAGATGATCCGAGGCAGTAGGGCAGGATGCATTCCGACTTCCCCCCCCCCCCACCCCCGCACAGACGCAC